TTCCTTCCTTCCCCGTCTGTCTATCTTGTCTGTCTTTCCTTCCTTCCATCCTTCCTTCCTTCCTTCTTTCTCCAGTCTCCTTCATTCCTCTTTTCTTTCTTTCTCTTCCTTCCTTCTTTTCTTGCTGTCTCTTTCTTTCTCCTTTCTTTCTTTATCTCTTTCTTTCTTTTCTCACTTTCATCCTTTCTTTTTCTTTCTTCCTCCATCCCTCCCCTGACCTTTCCTTCCTCCCCTCCCCTCCCCCCTCCTCTCCTCTTCTCCCTCCCTGTCTCTTTCCTTTTCTTTGCTTGCTTGCTTTTTTCTCCATTCCCGTTCCTCCCCCCCTCCCCCCCTCTTTCTTTTGTTCATTCACAGTTCCTTCCTTCCTTCCTTCCCACTCTTTCTTTCTTTCTTCTTTCTTTTCCTTCTTTCTTTCTTTCTTTCTTTCTTTCTTTCTTTCTTTCTTCCTTCCTTTCTTCATGCCCCTTCCTTCCTCTTCTTTCTTTATTCTTTCTCCATTTCCCTTCCTTCCTTGTCTGTCTGTCTTTCTTTCTTTCCTTCCTTCTTTCCTTCCTTCCTTCTTTCTTTCTCCAGTCTCCTTCCTTCCTCTTTTCTTTCTTTCTCTTCCTTCTCTTCCTTCTTTTCTTTCTGTCTTTCTTTCTCACTTTCATCCTTTCTTTTTCTTTCTTCCTCCAGCCCTCCCCTGGCCTTTCCTCCCTCCCCTCCTCTCCTCCCCTCTTCTCCCTCCCTGTCTCTTTCCTTTTCTTTCTTGCTTGCTTTTTTCTCCATTCCCGTTCCTTCCTTCCTTCCTCCCTCCCTCCCTCTCTCTCTCTTTCTTTCTTTTGCTCATTCTCCGTTCCTCTTCCTTCCTTCGTTCCTTCTCACTCTTTCTTTCTTTCCTCCTCTTTCTCTCTTCATGTGCCTCCATGCCCCTTCCTTCCTCTTCTTTCTGTTTTCTTTGTCCATTTTCCTTCCTTCCTTCCTTCCTTCCTTCCTTCCTTCCTTCCTTCCTCCTTTCCTCCCTTCCTTCCATCCACCTTTCTCCTCCCTCTTCTTCTTGGTTCTTTCCTCCCCTTCCTTCTTTCTCTCTTTCTCTTCGTTCCCCCTTCCCTTTTCTTCTTCCCTTCCTTCTTTCACCCCGGCAAGTGGGTTGCACTCCAAGTGCCAAGAAAAAGTTGCAGCTCAAGGGCTGATCTCTCACCCAAACATTATCTCGCTTGGACCCCAATTGGTCTTAAATCCACTAAGGTAAAAGCCTTTTTTCCCCCACTACTTTGCATTATCGGTTGGGATTTCAAAACAGAGACTGGGACCCTGCTGGCATTCAGTTAAGCGGCCTCTCAAAGCAATGCTGAGCTCATTTTATGTTGCTTTTGATTTCCTTCTGCCAAGTTCTCTTTTGCAGACCAAATTCCCCAACTTTAAGTGGAAAAAAAGACCGCTTTAGTGCACCTTAATTTTCAGGGATTATTGCTTAGAAGACTTAAAATAACTTTATTGCCACGTTGAACGTACACTAATTGGCATACATTAAAATGAAATTCCGTGGCATACAGCTACATACGCTATACGTAGTATATATTGGAGGCTCTCCACCTCCAATACACACTACATAAAGATGACAACAATAAATAAATCCAAGATTAGGCATATATTATGTGTGTATAATATATTATGTGTGTATAATACACATATATTATGTGTGTATAATACAGCCTAGTTCACATGTATACTTGTACATGGCAAGAAAAACTAATCTTGCGAATTTGCCAGACATATGGCATAGGGAACAAAGCTGTTACAGAATTTGGAAGTCTTGTTGTAGGTACTTTAAAACCTCCTCCCAGAGGGGAGCAACAGAAACAGACCATGAAGTGGGTGTGTGGGGTCTCTAACAATTAAGCGTTAAGAGTTGTTAACCTAATCTTACGTAGCTTTTTCTCTGGTAATATTACACTAATAACTAGAAACACTTGCTAGACCAATACTGGAATACAGCTCATCAGTCTGGACCCCACATTATGTATCTGATACTAACACAGTTGAGAAAGTCCAGAAATATTTCACAAGAAGAGTTCTCCATTCCTCTACTCGTTGCAGAATACCTTATGCCACCAGACTCGAAATTCTAGACCTAGAAAACCTTGAATTACGCCGTCTTCGGTCCGATCTAAGTATAGTACATAAAATCATACATTGCAGTGTCCTACCTGTCAATGAATACTTCAGCTTCAACCTTAACAACACAAGAGCACACAATAGATACAAACTCAAGGTTCACCGCACCAAACTTGATTGCAGGAAATGCGACTTCAGCCACAGAGTGGTCAATGTCTGGAATCCTCTACCTGACTCTGTGGTTTCTTCCCCAAACCCCCAAAACTTTAACCTTAGACTGTCTACTATTGACCTCACCCCTTTCCTAAGAGGTCTGTAGGGGACCTGCATAAGCGCACCAACCTGCCCACCGTCCCTGTCCTATTGACTCTGTTTTTTTTCCTTATATGTATCCCTGTATTCATAACTATGTTTTTACTTATACCTATTATCTTGTAAGCAATTGACAAATAAAAATAAATAAATAAATAAAATGCTTTGAGCTCTAAGCACATAGCGCTTATAACCAGCATCCTGAATGACAGGAAGCAAGCTTTCTATAATCTTCTCCACCGTCCTCACCACTCTCTGTAGGGACTTTCTATCTGAGACGGCAACAAACAGGGATGCAGAGAAGAGCAACCAAGATGATTAGGAGGCTGGAGGATAAAACTATGAAGGACAGTTGCAGGAATTGAGTGTGTCTCGTTTAATGAAATGGTAGAGTCTCCTTCTTGAGCGGGGGGGTTGGACTAGAAGACCTCCAAGGCCCCTTCCACCTCTATTTGATTGATTAATAAATGATAATAACAATAATAACAATAAAACGCCATTTCTGTTTCCCAGGTTCTACCAGAAGATCCAGGTTTTGCATCAAGGATCGAGCGGCACCATGGCGAACCCGTTGATGGCGTTTGCCCTGATCAAGAGATTGCAGTCGGACTGGAGGAACGTGGTTTACAGCCTGGAAGGAAGTGAGAACATTCAAGGTGCGCCTTCCTCACAACTCTTTTAAATGTGTCTCCAGGAGTACGACCAAATAACAGCAATCTTTGATTTATTACTGTTTGAATGAATGGTTGTAAATCGAGGACTGCTTTCTGTAGACCACCCCCATTGTGAATGGCATGGCGGCCTAGTGGTGAAGATGCTGGCCTCCCGTTCAGAAGGTTGAGAGTTCAGTCCTAGGTAGCTGCAGATATTTCTATCATAGGACACAAAGAAAAGAGGAAAAAAAGTCTGCTGGTAACTCCACCTAGACATCAGGAAGTGCATCCAGCCAGTAAATGCTCAGCTCCATCCAGTCACCCCGACTCTATGCCAAATTAAGTAATAAAAAGAGAATTTGAAATTACAGCCATGCTGAAAGGAAGTGTTGTGGCCTGCTGGCGGCGAGCAGAGCTGCAGCAGAGTCGGACAGGGAGGAGGTTGGGGAGGAACAAGGGCCAGTCCTGGAGGCTGAGGAAGGCTCGGACGAGGCCCCTGCGTTGGAGGCAGGGATGAGGCCAGGACTGTCTGGCAGTCATCAGCTGCCTTCAGAGTCGGATTGCAGTGAGGTGGAGGAGCAGCTGGAGCCTGTTCCCAGTGTGCGCATGCACAGAGCTGCCAGAGGAAGGGAACAATTAAAGAAAAAGGGTCGACTCAGGAGTAAAGGCTCAGGTGGATGGTGAATGGCCCTTCCCACAGGGATTAAAAGAGGAGCAAAAGGGGAGGGGGCTTTTGGCAGGAAACAATTCGTTTGTTGCAGCAGTGTGAAGCTCTGTCTGTGCATCTCAGAGACTCTGTGCCGAGTCCTTCCTTGTCAGCACTGCGTTTGGAAATATTTACTTGGCAGCTCTCCAAGCTAGATGAGGTCTGTGCTCCTAATGACACCCTTGAAAGCCTGTTGGCTAGGCCTTTGGCTGAAGGTGAATGCAATAAATTCACCTTTGTTTAATAAAAGGAGTTTTGCTGGGACAAAGAGTCTGCTTAGTACTTTTGGGGGAAGCCGAGGTTAAAACAGAAAGTTACTTAAAAAACCAGTCATCACACTTATGACCAGTGTAACACTTGATCCAAATTCAGGTGCTTGGCAACCAGTTAGTATCTACAACGGTTGTAGCATCCCAGGGTCAGGTGATCACTATTTTTCACCTTCCCTGCTGGCTTCTGACTAGCAAATCAGTTGAGAGAAGCTGGGTTCACTTAACGACCATGGCCAAAGAGGTTTTTAAGCAGATACGGGGCATCAATTTGTCTGAAGTGTTTTAGGGTCTCCTGCGTGAGCAGGGGGTCAGACTGGATGACCCCCCCCCAAGGTCCCTTCCCACTCTGTTATTCTGTTGTCCCAACTGATCCGGTTTTTCAGCCCTGAAGGTCAGCTATCACCGCTTAGAAGACCGTCTACCTCTCTTTGAGGATCTCGAAGGAGCAGCGAGGGCCCTCATGCGCCTTCAGGACGTCTACGCTCTGAGCGTCCAAGGGTTGGCCAGAGGCCGATTTCAGACGGCCAGCGGGGCCCGTCCTGATCTCTACCGTCCCTGCCAGGATTTTGTCTTGTCTGCCGATGACTGTTTCCACATCGGGAAGGTGAGTCACCGAAAGCCAAGATAGCCAAGAGACGATTCCTCAAACAAGGAAATCCCCAGTTGTGGGTTCTCCCGCCCTCCACACCAGACGCACATACATACATACCCTGGCCTTGTTTACTAAAGGGAAACTTGGAATACAGGTAGTCCTTGACATACATCCACAATTGAACCCCAAACTTTCTGGGAGACGTGTGTGTTAAGTGAATTTCGGCCCCGTTTTTACGACCTTTCTTGCCGTGGTTGGTAAGTGAATCCCCATGTGGTGGACGAGTTAGTAACCCAGCTGTTCAGCGAATCTGGCTCCTTCCGTTGATTTTGCTAGGGTCACGAAAGGGGATCATGCGACGCACACACCTGGGACACTGCAGCTGTCATAAATATGAACCAGTGGCCCAGCATCCAAGTTTTGATCACGTAATCATGAGGAGGCTACTGTTGTGGCCCCAGTGACGGCAGGCGGAGCTGGCAGCAGAGTTGGACAGTCGTGAGGAGGTCGGGGAGGAACCCAGGCCAGTCCTGGAGGCCGAGGAAGGCTCGGACGAGGCCTCTGCATTGGCGGCAGAGATGGAGCCAGGGCAGGCTGGCCGTCATCAGCTGCCTTCAGTTGGACGGCAGTGAGGCAGAGGAGCAGCTGGAGCCAGTTCCCAACCTGCGCATGCGCAGAGCTGCCAAAAGGAAGGCACAATTAAGAACTCGGGGCTGACATGGGAGTAAGGCCACAGTTGGATGATGAATGGACCCTCCCATGTGGATTAAAAGAGAAGGTAAAGGGGACAGAGTGTTGTGGTTAGCCGGCAGCAGGTGCAGACGGCTAAGGAGAGCGAGGACTCAGGTGAGGGGCCAGGACCATCAGGGAGTGGACTGCTGCCTTCGGAGATTGTGGGAGCTGGCAGCAGCAATGAGGAGGTTCCCGAGGAGCCTGTGCCAAGTGCGCATGTGTGCAAGATTGCTGTTACACAGGCAACTCAGGAGTAAGGCTGTAAGGTAATGGCCCCTCCCTCAAGAGGATAAAAGCCAGGTTTGGAAAAGCGTTCTTTGCAGACAGCAAAGAAGCTCTGGAACTCAACTGGTGGACATCTTAGTTTGTGTTGGGAGAATTCTGTAAATTAGTCCTTATCTCTGGGTTTTTGGCAGCCTTGACAAACAACTTGGCAAGGCTCTTTCTTGTCGGAGCTAATTGTTGGAAAGCAACCTTCAGAACAGAATTCGTTATTAAACCTTAAAAGGTGGGGGCTGCCGCCTTTGTCTGTGTTTGCCCTCTGGGAACCCGTCTGGGTCAGAACAGGGGGCTTTTGCAGGAAACAACTCGCTTGTTGGGTTGTCTGTTTGTTCCAGCCTCGTGAAGATCTGTCTGTATAACTCAGCCCTTCCTTGTCAGCACTGAGCGTGGAACTATTTACCAGACAGGATTGATAAAGGTCTGAGCTCAAGAGTCTACCTTCGCAAGAGTGTTTGCCAAGCCGTTGGCTGACCGTGAATGAAATAAATTCACATTAATGTAATAAAAGAAGGTTTTGCCAGGACTCCGAATGTACTTAATGCTGTTTGAGGAGGCCTAGGACCAAAGACTTAAGTGGGAAAAACCGCCAGCTATATCACATTTTCCCACCCGCTTGTAACTTCGAAAGGTCACTAAATGAACTGCTCTAAGTCAAGGACTACCTGTACACCGGTCCTACGAGAGCTGGTGGCAGAAGCTTGGAATTAGCTGGCGGGCCATCTTGGCAGAGCTTTGGGGTGTCCACTTTGGTTCCAGGGGAGGCCAAACCATCTCGAATGACAGGGGCATCCATCCAGGGACGACGGCTCTTGATCTCATCTTTCTACAATCCGGTGTGGATTGGTACATCCGAATCAGTTTCTTGCAGGTGGCTTATGACAAGGAGGATTATTACCACTCCATCCTGTGGATGGAGGAAGCTGTCCAGCTCTTCCGGATCTCCTACGGGGACTGGAACACGGAAGATGAGGGGAGCCTGGAAGAGGCCCTGGACCATTTGGCCTTCTCCTACTTCATGGTGAGCCAGGCAGGGTTTCTTTCTTACTTTTCCTTCCTTCCTTCCTTCCTTCCTTCCTTCCTTCCTTCCTTCCTTCCTTCCTTCCTTCCTTCCTTCCTTCCTTCCTTCCCTCCCTCCCTCCCTCCTTCCTTCCTTTCTCTCTCTCTCTTTCTTTCTTTCTTTCCTTCCTTCCTTCCTTCTTTCTTTTTCTTTCTAATCCTTCTTTCCTCCTTTCTTTCTTTCTTTCTTTCTTTCTTTCTTTCTTTCTTTCTTTCTTTCTTTAGTTTTCTTCTTTCTAACCACCCTTCTTTCCTTCCTTTTTTCTTTCTTTGCTTCATCCCATATTTTTCTTTCTTTTACTCTCTCCCACCCTCCCTCCCTCCCTCTTTCTTTCTTTCCTTCATTCCTTCTTTCTTTTTCTTTCTAATCCTCCCTTCCTCCTCTTTCTTTATTTCTTCCTTTGTTTATATATTTATTTAGTTAGTTTTCTTCTTTCTATCCAACCTTCCTTCCTTCCTTTTTTCTTTCTTCCCTTCATCCTCTTTTCTTTCTTTTCCTCTCTCCCACCCTCCCTCTCTTCCTTCTCTCTCTCCCACCCTCTTTCTTTCTTTCTTTCTTTCTTTCTTTCTTTCTTTCTTTCTTTCTTTCTTTCTTTCTTT